GTTGCGGATCGCCTTTAAGAGCGCCCCTTTCAGTCGCGTTCAGGATCGGCTTCGCTACCGCGACGAACCTGACGTGGAGCGTCTAGTCGTTGTTCGCCACCGCACCTGGATGAACAGTTCTACGTGCAGGAGCCTCATTGGCAAGTGGAACCAAGTTACGAGAATGTGCCCGCATGTGGACGAATACGCGCATGATGTCCAACAGAATGTCACCCCCTGTCTTGCTCGTGAAATTGATCGGCCCTCCATCCCGATACTGTTGCATCCGAGGATCAAAGAGCTATGGAGTGAGGCTCCTAGGAGCCTTGGCGATTTTCTGTACCGGGCCATTTTCCTTACCGCTACCAAGCAGGCCCCTTGGTTGCCTCCTCTCTGGCCAAAACTGTTTACAACGCCTGGCCAACGAGTACCCGATTTGAGTCTGGGAATCGGCGTTGCCTGATGGGGTGAAATCCGACGCGATTTTTCATTATTTCTAGTGCCCCGTATTGTTGCCCTTTCTCGCAAGCATTCTCCCGTCGTTGCTGACTGATTTTAACGAGTGGAATGCCACAGATCGATTGATAATCAGGCCCCCGTTGCCCGACATTAAAGCCGTGCGAAGTACCTTCCTCATGCGAGACCTCCTTCTTGCCACATGCAACTCCGTGCGATCTAGGGCTAACACGGGAAATCTGCCTGACAGACCTGAAGCTTTGATGAGGGCACGAGCTCGCGCGGTCGCCAAGCGCAAGCATGCCGTCCGAGAGCTGTTTATTGTTCGATGAAGCTGACGTGGGCCCCGCGGATCGGTCACATTTGAACCCGTTACTCTGGCCCAGCAGCAGCAAGAGGGAGCCGTATGATTATATTGTTGAGCCCACCTATCGAGCTTGACATCATCACCGCCATCACCATTACCATTTTCATCATCCTCATCAGCATCAGCAGCATCACATGTAGCACCATAAGAACCACCATCATCAGCATTGGCAGCATCGTCGTCATCATTCGAATCATCGTCATCATCAACCTCACCATCGTCATCATCATCATCATCATCATCACCATCACCATCATCAACCGCATCATCACCATTGTTATTCTCAAAAACAACACCATCATCATCACAAACATCAGCATCATCAACATGATTAGCATAATGACCATCAGCTCCGTCCCCATCATAATCATCATCATCATCAACATCGTCATCATCATCATCATCATCATCATCATCATCGTGCGCACCAGCATCAACACTATCACCATCATCATCCCCATCGTCATCATCACCATCATCCTCAGCAGCATAAACACCAGCATCATCGTTCTCATTCTCATCGTCATCCCCATCCCCATAGTAATCACCATCACCATCACCACCATCATCATCACCACCACCATTATCATCGCTATCACCATCTTCATCGACACCATTATCATCTGCATCATCATCATCGTCAGCATCATCATCAGCATCATCATCATCATCACCATCATCATCAAAGTTCCCCGTGGGGACGCAAAGGTAACCGCGCTTCTCGCGTCGTGGGCTGGACTGAAGAGCTGCTTTTCTCCAGGAAAAGCGGCGCGATGGGCGCGAGGTTTGGAAGTTGACCGCGCATCGCGCATCGCGGTGCGCAGCGCGCGAGGTCGGCAGCCCAGAGAAGGTTTTTTTTTCTCGTCTGTGGGATCTGCCCTCGGCGAGCACCGCCGCCCGCTGCCCCGCCCCCTCTCGTCCTCCGCCCCCTTTCCCCGTTCGAGGGGAAGGCGGGGTGGCAGGGGGACGGGGCCGCTGCTGTCAGATTGGCTTGGCCCTGGGCGTGCTCGGTACGGTCGTGCGGAGTCGGGGCGGGTGGCGCACATGTACCACGCTTGCTGCCGCCCCACAGACAGCAGAACGGTCGAAAAGGGAAGTCGGACGGCCCAGCTTCCCCAGCGGGGGCGGGAAAGGGTGGTGGGAGAGAGGGAGGGGATGGAGGCAAGCTAGGTCCGCTAGCGTCACATCTGACGTCCTACCCCTTTCTCGCATCCCTATGTCGTAGATATCAGATCTTTTCGCACGGTCGGATTTCGAGCAGGGCAATGATCCCAAGAGGGTACGCGATGGATGGAAAAGCACGGCGTAGAAGAGCACGGCATAGCATGGTATAGCATGGCGTGGCATTGCGTAGTGAAGCATTGCATCACAAGGCATAGCAACTCAAAGCATGGCATCGCACAGCGGTGCACAACACAGTATCGCATTGCATGCCGTGGCATGGCACCGGATGAATTGGAGGGTAAGTGTGCCGTCTACGAGAGGACAGGGTCTGTCCGGAATGCCTGCTCCATCTCCTCCGCAACCGTGCTTGCCTGATGTGGGCGCTTTCGAGTGCCAAGTGCCGTGCGGAGGCGCGGGAACGAGGCCAGCGCTGCAGCAGGAGCATGATTTTGAATGAGCGAAGCGCGGAAATGAGGGCGGCGCTGCAGCGGGAGCACCATGTTGGAAGAACCAGACACGACCCGATAGAAAAAACACATAGGAACAACCATATCATGAAATCTTGTATGTGAGAAACAATCGCGGAGAGAGAAGAGTATCATTCATTTTGTGTAATTGTAGATGGATCGAGGGGGATGGGGAGGTCAGGAGGATTGATCCCGCAACGACTTCGGCGGGTCCGGTCCGATTCGAGTTCGATGTTCCTGCGATTCGATGCGGCCCGATGTGTCCAGTTGTGCACCCTGGCAGCCGTTGTGCAGTTGCGAACCCTGTCCGTTGCAGGGCCTATTTATGCATCCTGGCGAAGCCGATCCGATTCGATGTTGACCCCGAGCCGATGCAGCCTGATCCGACGAACGTTCCGATTCGAACCGGTTTTCCGATTCGTTGCTGACTGACCTTGCCATACCACGGCAGGGCTTCCCCTCGAGGGAAGAATCCCTGACTAAGCCCAGGGCACTACCTCCTTCGTGGTCTGGTCAGGGTTCCCTGTCCTGCAGGGGGGGGATTCTCGATCGATCCTGCCTCTCGCGGGGCTTCGACTGGGAGGCAATGCGTCGCGTCCTGGAGCAAGCCCAACCACCCGTAATGCCGCCGCGTTGCCATCCGTATCCGTTTTGCGAAGGCCTTGCGGCTGGTGCCGCCGACCCTCAAGGGGAACGACGACAATGGCGGCGGCAGCGACGACGACGACGACGCTGACGTGCGTCAGAGTCCTTATGGGTGCTTCTTGGAGTCTCTTCGAAGCGCTCTCGGGGGCCTCTGGGGGACAGTTAAGGGGCCTCGTGGGAGCCTCTTGGGGCCGCTTGGAAGCCTCTTGGGGGCCTCTCGGGGCTTCCTGGGGGCCTCTTGGGGGCCTCTTGGGGGCCTCTTGGTACCTCCTGGGAGCCTCTCGGGGCCGTGGGCTCGAAATGTCCGTTCTGGTCCCTCGTCTGGGCACCCTCTTCGAGCCGTCTTTGGGGCCTCTTGGGCCGTCTTGGGGGGTTGTCTTGGGGCCCCCTTGGGCCGCCCTGGGTCCCTCCTGGAGCACTTTTGGGCCGTCTTGGGGCGATATGGGGGTCCTCTTGGGCCCTCTTGGAGCGTCGGGAAGCGGAAGAGGCGAGAACGCCGAAATGCTTCAAAGACCATCGAGAAATCAGTGATGTTTCCTCTCGGTGCCCTCTTGGGAGTGCTCCTGGAGACCTCTTGGGGCGTCTTGCAGGGCCGTCTGGAGGCCGTCAAGGCGTCTTGGACAGATCGTTCGGCGATTCGGGGCCCTCTTGGACCGTTTTTGGGGGAGCCTCTTGGGGCCCTCTTGGCCCGTCCTGCTTTTTGTTTGGAGCCCGGGAGCCGCCCTAGGGGGAATTGGATCTGGGTCGGGTCCCCCCCAGGACCCCCTGCGGGACCCCCCCCCTCCCGGCGGGGGAGGGATCAAAGGGAAGGGGCTTCCCCTCGACTCAAATACGACGTTGTTGAAGTTCGCTTCAACTGGCGCGTTTGATTGCGCAGGGCGTTTGACTGCGCAGGGCGGGCGCGCTGGAGGAGAAGAGCCCAGTGAAGAGGGGGGAGGAGCGGCGGGCCCAGGGTCGCCAGAAGCGACGACAAACGCAGAGATGAAGTCGACGACTCGAACGAAGAAGCCCCTCACATGTGCCGGCAGGGTCGGCGGATTTGGACTGGTGGATGGGTCGCTGGTTCCCAGCTGCGGGACGCCGACCGCGGTTGTTTGCTCAGTGGCGAAGGCTGCCCAGATCGCCCATCCAATTATTCCAATACGCCGACATGTCCTTTGGAATGTCCTTGTGGTCGCCAATGCCGCGTCACATTACGGCGCCCGCCCGGGCGAATCCGTCGCCGCCGTCGTCATCGTCCTCGTCGTTGTCGTTGTCGTTGTCGTCGTCGTAGTCGTTGTCGTTGTCGTCGTCGTCGTCGTCGTACGTGCTCCAACCGTTCTGCCTCCACACCTGAGCGCTTCGCTCTCGTGCGGTGCTCGTTGCCGCGCCTCCGATAGCTGGCAATGTTGCGCGATTCCCGTGGCCTCCTGCACAGACGGCGCCGCATTCGCGCACGGGAAGGACCCCCAATGGTTCGGAGGCCTCGCTCGAGATCACCCGTGTGCGGTAGGTTCGTGTCGTGTCGACCAGCGGCGACCCCGCCAGCGGCGTTCAGGGGTGAACGCCGCGGGCGACCCAGAATCGTTCGATGTGGAACGATTTGGACGTTTCGGAAACGGCCGATCGTTCAAGCTTGAACGATCCCCGCGATGTCAGAAACCAACGCCAGGGTGGACACGACGCGAACCTGACTTACGGGAAGGACCCCCAATGGCTCGGAGGCCTCGCTCGAGATCGCCCGTGTAGCACGCCTGGCCGCCTGGCCACCGAACTGCGGACGAGCAGGTTGCGGAAGATCCGCAGAAGCAGTTGAGCCAGACAAACGTTGGGAGCGGCGCAGTGCCTCGACAGAGAGGGGAGGAGAGAGGAGGTGCAGGAGGAGGCATCCTCTGCGCCCTCTCCCCCTCGACTCCGTTGCCCCCTGCCGCGGTTCGCCCCAGGACGGTGATCATCATGAGTGAGCCCGAGAGCGTGTTCTTGCCGACGGAGGCGCGTTCGGAGCGAGCGCTGAGAGGCTCATCAAGTCCAGCATCCGCAGTGGATTCCCAGGAGGAGGAGGAAGAGGAGGAGGAGGAGGAGGAGGAGGAGGGGGAGAAGGGGGAGGAGGGTCAGCGTCAGCCAAATGTGTCTCACTGAGGCACTGCGATACTGCAATGCTCTCTCCCATGCCAACATACGCCGTCATACGACTTCTGTTTCGCCACAGGAAGCGTCCCTTGGGAACGACCAGCGCAGTTGTGCCTGCCGCTTTGGCGAGGGCACCGCTTTGAAAGTAATTGCCTCGCATCGTTCTGGCGCAAGGAAAGTGGAAAATTCTGATCATATGGTTCAAAGATCGCCCTCCATCCGTGCAGCTGTTGCACAAGTATGTCATGCAACCCGAGGGAGTCTCCATCGATAGCTCCGTCTTTGGGCAGAGCCGCCCTGTAGCTGTTCAGCGCTAGTTGCGTTCAACATCAAGATCTTCCTAAGTGAACGGGCGCCCACGCGAAAACCCCATGATGGAAAACAGCAGTTCGCTATGTTGGTGAATGCTGCGATGAAAATCGAACACGCGCGGCGCCGTGGCGAGAGTCGCACTTTGAAACCGACCAGTGACCAATGTGTGAGACTGCCGAAGCTGTCGCGAGATGTTGAAACATGTTCGCGGCGCCAAGGCGAGAGCCCCGCTTTCAAAAGGAACCCCTTCCGTCCGTAAAGCTGTTGCAGACATGTTGGCAAGCGCAGGCGGCGCTAAGGCGAGAGCACTGTGTTGAAAACGATCTCTCAATTCATGCCTGAGCAGGCTGCAAGTGTTTCAGACGAGTGCGCTCGGCATCAATGCGAGGGCCACACGTTGGCCCCCCATTTCGTCCATGAGACGGCTGCAACTTGTTGAAGACGAGTGCGCGCGGCGCTAAGTCGAGAACAACACTTTGAACATCGCCACACGCTTACACACCTCATCACCTCCATCCTTGAACGTTAGAGACTTTTAAGACGAGTGCGCGCGGCGCTGCAGCGAGAGCCCCATTCCCCCCCCCCCCGCCCCTCCGGCCCTGGAACTGCTGCAAGCGTTGAAGATGAATGTTCGCGGCGCGAAGGCGATAGCCACATTCTGACAAGGAGCCGCCCCCCTTCATTGCAAAAAATGAACAAGAGCCCCCCGTCATCATTGAACACAGTGCAGTCGGGTCTGATCAGAATTCTGACCCTGCGAGGTGAAGGTTGCAAGGGTGCGCTTGAGTCTTGTCTGTTGCGCTTCGCGCCCCCCTGATGCCTGGAGCACGGCCTGCTCTCGGAGGGGACTCCTGCCTTGTGTGCTCCTCCCTTGTCTTTTGCATTCAGCCCTTGCTGTAGGGCGGCGGGCGGCGGCGGCGGCGGCGATCGCATCAGGAGCACGGGTCCTCATCCTCTGGCAGGCAGCTCAAACACGGCCAACTAGAACCAGCAACAAATTACATCCCAAGCTCCTCGCGTGCGCGTAAAGCGGTGCATAGCACTGAGGGGGGGCTCAATGTCTCACGGACCTTTCGGGACCGATCCAAGGCCGCAGACACCCCGACAAAATTTCGCTGCTACTAAGGAACGAATCAACACAGGAAAAAAGAGAGTGCAGGGAAAAAGGAAGGTGGCCTCGCTGGCCCCGCCGCCCAGTGACTGCTGGATCATTGGCCAGAGGTGCTGTCAGGTCTCCTCGGGGCCCTACCCACGAGTCTAAGGATGCAGGCCTCCAAAGAGTTCGAGCGGGGGTCAGACGAGGGCCTCGAAGGACGAGGAGGAGGAGGAGTCGAGCGATTCGACATACGATGTTCAGACATCCCTAGACTCTGCCCAAGAAAATGCGTGTGGCGCTCACTCTGTGGGGGCACAGGCGGGACAGCAGATACAGGCAAAGCTTCCTCAGTCGTGGAACGTCTGGAAGTAATCCGCTCAGTCTCCCCACTCGGATGTTCTCGAGTCTGAGAGAGACTGGGACTCGATCTCGGCACAGTCCTTCTCATTTGTCCAGAACCAGAGGAAATATACTCCATATCAGTACGATTCAGTAGTCTGCTGTTGTCCAGCAGCACCTGTAGAATCACTCTCCAAGTCAGTACTATTCAGTAGTCCGCTGTCGTATCCAGCAACACCTGCATGAGCCTCTCGTGATGGCTCTTTGGAGCCTGGCCGCGCTTGATGGTCGCCCCGAGCTGCCGCAAGGAGTCGAGCAACTGCATCTGAATGCCAGTCTCCTTGGCCTCGAGATGAATCTTCATCACTTTGCGGCCGTGTGTGTAGCTGATGCGGCAGTGGCGGATCGTCTGACACAGCGAGTCGTTGGTCACCGTGTTGTCTCCTTTCACTCCGTCCATCCAAGTCGCAATCGCCTGCGCATTGATGGCCCCTACCCTCTCGCCCTGCTGTCGAACCGCCCCAACTAGGGCCAGGAAGAGGTGGGGATGAGGAACGCCCAGTGCGTCGAGCTTTGGTATCTGTTGGCGGTCGCGAAGGGCCTGGGCGTTTTCTCGTCGCAGTCGCTGTGTTTCCTCTACGTAGCATCTGCCCGTGATGCGCATGGCCTTGCATATGTCGTGATCCTTGTCCATGTGCACTTGATGAAACACCGCCGCCTCCAGAGCTGACACCCCCTGCATGGTGCGCAGCGTGGCCCTCACCATCACGGGGAAGAAGGCCTGGATCAGCTCCAGCCGGACCCTCCTCTGCGCCAGCGAGGTCAGGTCCTCCCGCCGCAGCCCGAAGGTGTTGTCCGCGTTGTCGAATGTCTCCTGCAGCAGGCGCACAAGCTCGGGGTCCTCAAGTTTCGGGTTCGGCACCTGCCTGGGGCGGCCTCCCTCTGCCGCGCGCGCGGCCTGCTGCGGGCCGAGGACGCCCTCTGCCGCGGCCGCGGCCCCCGCGGCTGGTGCACCACGTGGCGGTCGGTCTCCCCCTCCCTTGCGAGTCGGTCTGCCTCGGTTTCCGCTGCGAGATCTGAGGGCGCGATCTCTGGCCGCGGGCTCTTGGCTCATGGCCCTCTCTGCGAGATCCATCGTAGACTCTTGGTTCTTCGAAGACAAGGGCAGGGGCTGGGGGAGCGTGCACGTCGCGAATGAGACGTTGGAGTTCAGGAAGACTCTCAAAAGGATCAGAATGTCTCGAGCCTGGTGGCATACACTCCACGAACCCTGCAAACGCTGCCTCCAAGTCTATGCAGAAGGGGCAATGGAGGTCCGCGGGCTCTTGAACAGGAGGGGCATACGGGCTCATATCACAAAGACATCTCCCACGGCGCAATGACTGGACGACATGTCGCTTAGCTGTGACTTGGCTCCTAAAGGTGCTCATGCAGTAGGGGCACTGGTTAGTGATGACTAGCATGTTAGACGGGACCCGCATCTTATGGGTAGGATGGTGACATTGATGAGCAATAATAAGGGCCCCCTTACTGTAGTATACTAGTCCACACCTCCCATCCTCACCATCTCCTGGAAGATCACAAACATGTTCCTGAAGGGGCTCTTCTGGGGCTCCGTGAAGGGGACGTTGTGTAGACCTCGTGGCACTCCGAAGCTGGGGGACCTTTGTCAGTTTTGTGACGTCGAAGGGCGGTGGGAGGAGAGAGGAGGCAGTGCCCGGACTGACAGTGATCACTGCCAAGTCCGGACCCCTACCCCCAGTCCTGGCAGCGAGGGCACGAGATGCTGTGATGTTTGAATTGTTTGTGGGGCGAGCAATCTGCGGCCAGGAAATTTGGGATAGCGTGTCGCTTCGCCTGTTCTGGCCCACCACGCCTCGGCGCGACACGCTGTCCACTTCTCCGCGGAGCGGATCGAAACGCTATCCGCATGAAAGCCATAGCGTTTCGCCGGGGCCGCCGCGGCGACACGCTAATCAAAAGTTCCCGAACGTACGGCCATACAGCCACCCGTGCAAGTGGCGGCGTCGCTGCTCAACTGATGAAGGGAAGGATGAAGAGGACAAAGCAGAATACTGGCGACGTGCACAGCCTTAGGGGTGGCTGCTCCCCAAGGCCATCCCGCCGACGGCCAAAGAACATCTTGGCTATAACATTATGAGGTTCTTTATGCGAGTGTTATGAGCGTTGGAACTCCAGATTGGAGATCAGAACGCTGGGGGCGGGACAAACAGCCAGAAGGGTAGCGCGAGGTAGAGGGGGGAGTAGGGAAATCTGAGGGGCGGGTGAAGGCAAAAGCGCCAGAGTAACTAGCCATGATGGGACGAAGGACGGGGCAACAGTGAGGGAAGCGAAAAAGATGTGGGATATGCTGCTGTCGCCTCAAAGTTGCCTGCGCGGGTGACGTGCTGCGCGTGGGGCGGGGCTCGATTACTATTCAGGAGAACAGGAGGAGGAGGAGGAGGAGGAGGAGGAGGAGGAGGAGGAGGAGGAGGAGGAGGAGGAGGAGGGGGAAAAGGAGGAGGAGGAGTATGGCCGGGGAAAAGAGAAGGAGAACAGACGTACTCACTGGGATTTCCTCTCCTTCCCCGATCAGGCCTCCGCCGTGGGCAGGGCGGAGCGCAAGCATTGGCCAGGAACGCTTCCATCCCCCCCCTGGAACCGCACACGGATTGCACGGGCCCATAGGTAACAACACGCGCAGGCAGGAATATGCACAGCATTAAGGTCAGGAATTGTTGCTTAGCGTGTCTCGCCGCCAGTTCTGGCCCACAACGCTTTAGAGCGACACGCTATGCACACCCCTGTCCCCGAGCGTCAACGTCCCGAGCTTTTTCCAGCCTCCAGCCCCGCGGAACGGAGCGACATGCTACCCGTTTGCAATGCATAGCGTGTCGCCGGGGTCGCCACCGAGACCCGCTGAGCAAAATTCCCGACCGTTATATATATATATATATATATGTATATATATATATATATATATATGTAGAACACGCGCAGGCAGGAACCTGCAGTGCGATAGATCCCAATGGGACCAATGAGCCTTCAGGGATGCCTGGCACGCCCGCGCGAAGCCAGAACCTTTCAAGCAGTAACTTGGCTGCCGTGGATCACTGGCTTGAGGTGGCCAGTCGTGCTCATGTTGTGTCTGTGTATCCCCCAGGAGCCCATCCGCGAAATTTTATCTTGTCCCCCTCGTGACGACGACGACGGCGAAGAACGACGACGTCGACGACGGACGACGACGGACGACGGACGACGACGGACGACGACGGCGACGACGACGACGACGACGACGACGACGACGACGACGACGGACGACGACGACGACGACGACCTGTGCGCCGAGTTCTACATGCTCGAGGGGCGAAGCCCAGCCCTGCCCTGTCACGTGAACGGCCAGACGTGCTTGCCCCCCCCTGGCTGCTTTCCTGTCGGGGAACGCGTTTCGCGAGGGCCGGGGGCGGCCAGGGAGGTGATGACTAGGGGGGGGGGGATATCATAGTGTGGGCCATGATATTTCCTCAGATTTCATGGCGCCTCTTCCTATTTCGTTGCGTCTCTGGTCCCCCCCCTGGGCCGCGCACATGCCGCCAGCCATGATTTGCGCCCCCCCCTCTGGGACGCCCCCCTCTTGGCCGCCCCCGAGAGGGAGCGAAGATGGGCCACGGAGGCGCCGTGGCTGTTCTGCAAGGCGATGGTGTCTGCGTTCGACGGGCTGCTGGACGCCGAGAAGGATTCCCAGCCCTCCCCCGTCCACTCCCGCCCTGGCCGGCGCAAGAGCAGGCCTCTTGCCGATTACTGTGCTTCTCCCCAGTTTCCCCCTAACCAGGAGAATGGGTGGGAGTCAAGGAGGAGGAGGAAGGCTAGGAGACGTAGCAGCAGCAGTTTCGAGAGCAGGAGCAGCAGAAGGAATGCAGCAGCAAACGATAGGTGTTTGTCTCTCTCTCTCTCTCTCTCTCGCTTTCTCTCGTTCTCTCTCTCTCTCTTTCTCTCTCTCTCTCTCTCTCTCTCTCGCTGCCTCTGACTCTGTCTCTCGCTCTCTCTCTCTATTTCTTCCTCTCTTTCTCTCTCTCTCTCTCTTTCTCTTGGTCTTTTGTGTTTATGTTTTTGGGGGTCTCTCTCTCTCTCTTTTTTTTTTTTTTCTCTCTCTCTCTCTCTCTCTATCTATATAACACGTTTAACCAGCGTGGGACCCAAACAGTCAGTTATTACATTGTGGAGCTGGCAGCTCTGTGAGGCAAGCTATGTGGGGAAAGCTATGTCGTGTAAGCTACCTGATGTGAGCTGTGGATGTCTGTGGTATCCAGTGTAAGGTGCATGGTGTAAGCTATGTGGTGCAAGCTATGCGATCTAAGGTAGGTTGTGAAAGCTATGCGTTGTAAGATAGTTGTGCAGGATAGGTGGTTCACGCCATGCGGCTTACGCTTTGTGGTGCAAGCTACGTGGTGAAAGCTAAGCCGACGGGGCGCGCACAAGCGCCTACGAGGCGGCACGGGCGGCAACGTGGCGAATCCTCGGGAAACCTACCCACACGAGGCGCAAACGAGGCGGCACAAGCGGCAACGTGGCGAATCCTCGGGGACGCACACATATTGTTCTGGAGCGCGACTGCCGATAAAAAGGGCGCCATGATTATGTTGTTTGTTGTTGATTACGATGACGGTTATAATTATCCGAATCTCAGGATGGCGATTCTGATGTGCTGATGATGCGATGGTCTGCTGATGATGTGTTGATGGTGGTGTTGATGACGTGCCGCCCGAGTTTGTTCCTTGTCTGCAACTAGCTCGTGCAGTCGAGCACACTGGAAGAACACGTTACCAACATCAACACATCATCATCACCATCATCATCATCATCATCATCATCATCATCATCAGCAGCATCATCATCATCATTCTCACCACCGTCATCGTCATCGCAATCATCCTCCTAATCATCATCCTCATCCGCCTCATCACCATCATCATCATCATCATCATCATCATCATCATCATCACCATCATCATCCACCGCAACATCATCAGTCCTGAGTCCTGTGCAGGGCAGAGTCGACATGTGGCTGCCTACAGAGGAGAGTCCGTCCGTCCTGTAGTCCCCGACCTTGCCGTGTCGCGCTCTTTCGCCAGCGCAGGCCCCGCAGGCTGAGGTTGCCGACAGCCCAGCAGGAGCAGGCTTTGCTCCGGAGCGCTCCAGAGCGCGAGGAAGGCTCTCGGAGCACGCTCTGACGCGGCCGCGGCGCCCGATACGTGATGGTTCATCTTCGGGTGACTGCTTCTTCCTTATCTATGGCAGTCTTGTCTTCTACTCCGACGTGGGTTCGACGCGGACTCGACGTGAATCCAGCGTGGACTCGACACGGATTCGGCTCAGACCCGACGCGTTCGACATGCATTCGACACGGATGCGACACTGATGGTTGGGGCGATGGGACACACGAGGCCCCCCAAAGATGCAACATAAGGTACGTCTTCCAGGCCTGTCTGCTCTCGGGGACTCCCCGTTTATCATGACGCCCGGCCCCTGTCATCCGAAAAGGCTTGTCTCCGAAAACATAGGTGGCCGAAAACGTACCCGAATTTGCGACCGAAGACATCGAGCGGCCGAGATTGTAACCCAAATTGAAAGCCAGATTGGCTTCGTACTGTACTATGTCAGTCACACTCGGGCAGAGTTTCGGGCGCAGCTCCGGTCCCCCCCCCCGCGGTAGAGACGAGGCTGCGCGAAGCCAGGCCGATTGAACCAGTTCGGACGGAGATGAGCCGCTTATCTCCATGCGAACCTGCCCTCGTCCTGTCCTCGTCTAACCCGGCCCTGCCCTCGTCCTGTCCTCTTACCAGGCCCGTTCCGCGCGCCCACGCCGCGGGAAGGAGGCCGGCCTCCAGTCCGGGCCGCTCCCAGGCGTCAGCGTGTCCTTCGCCTTCGACGAGTGCGTGCCCCCCAGAACATGCCGCCCTGGCCCCGCGGGGCGGCCCGGCCGGCGGCGCGGGCGCGCGCGGGAAGGTTTCGGGTTGTGCATAGACAGCCCCCCCACGTAGTCCAGGCTGGCCTCGACCTTGGTGTATTACCGATCTCAACCACTTTTAGCTGGCGACGCGTTTCGGACTCTAGGTCCTCTTCTGGGCCAAAAGTCTGCGGTGTCCCACGCGCGTGCCGTGCAGCGCGCGAGCAAGGCAGCAAAAGGTCAAGAGTGCGGGAATGAACAAAACCCGGCTGCCCACCCACCCTACCTAGGCCAACTATGCCTATGCAGCAATCTGAACACGTTCTTCTGAACCCCGATCGAAAAACGTGGTCGACGAGAATCTGGGAAATTGCGTAAGATCTTGCGGACAAACGTTGAATTCAAATCGCCAGGTTATTTACAATAGAATGCGATTGCCTTCGACCTCTGCGGACGCGCGCGGAGAATCCCTAGTTGCAGTTTCCGATGTTTCCGGAGCTGCCTGGCGACAACGGCATGCACCATTTCGTTGCTATAGCCTCTGTCCCGGCATCTCTTCGCGTAGGCATCTCTATAGCGTCTGCATGTGTTTGCACTTGCGGAGGCATTGGTGCACTACACATCAGTGCCTCACCTTCGACTCCGATCGACAAGTCCAGGAATGCAATACTGTCGGTGCCCCATTTTATGTCATCGATGCGGATGTTTGGGAGGTGGTTGTCGACAAGGCTCTTGACGCTGCTTGCGATTGCCCTGTGCATGATCAAAAACATCTCATCCACAAAACGGCGATATAGCTTAATCAGGAAGCCGGCTGTGGGAAGATGCTGAAGGATATGATGGTCGAGTGCGTCCAGATACAAGTTGGCGATCATAACGCCCGGAGACAAGCCAGTACCGATGCCCTGCACTATCTGGTGAAGAGCGTCGTTGTAGTTGACGACTTGGTTCCGGATCACGAGCTCCAGAAGGTTTGCGACGAGGTAACCAAACGTTGACCTTCCATGGAAAGCGAGAATTTGAACGCGTAGTCTGCTCAGCAGGTCGTCATGATCAAGGCTCGGGTAAAGATTCTGCAAGTCACCTGTGAAGATGACGTCGTCGGGCTTGGCGGTGTGTCGTTCAAGGTCAGCGATCAAGATATCGCTGCTCACCAGTGCGTTCTGCACCTCTGCCTGCAGAGGCTTGAGTGCCTCGACGAGGAAGGTACTCAACGGCTGGATGCAGCACGTGGTCAGGTTGAACACAGGTCTCCCTTTCACGATTGGTTTATGGATCTTTGGCAGGAGTCGGAATCGCCCGGGCTGGAGCTTGCAGAACCGGGTTGAAAGCAATGCGATATGGTGACGCTCTAGTGAACCCCGTGCCAGGGCTGTATCCAGAATGAGCTGCAACAGTTCGTTGGCCCTGCTCAGCTTGTCGACGAATTCAGCTTCAGAGATGCTCTGGCTGGCTTCTGCTAGCAGGCGCTCGCACTCTCGATCAACCCAAACTCGTGGAAAAAAGGCTTCACCGAGATTCTTGTCTGTGTCGCATACGACCACAGACTGCGAATTCCGGCGTATCCAGTGACGCGCCTTGAAATGTTAGAAATGCATGTTGGGAAATCGGGTTCTAGGCTGATGGTCTTCCAATGCGATGCTGGCGATCCGTGCACAGACGTCGATATGAGCACGCTCGCCAGCGCTGCCTTTGCAGCGCCAGCGAAGTTTATTCACAGACCGAACGAGCTCAGAATGAAGGTGCTTCGCGTGGGTGTGGAGGAGTTCGGGAATGAATTTGCCAGACTTCGCAACGAAGCTCTTGACACATGCAGGGATGCTGTCGTACAACGTAGGCGGACAGAAATTATGAACCGACACGGGCTTAGGTCGACTCAAGAGATCTCTCAAGGGGGTCTGGAGGAGCGTCCCGATCACATACCTCTTGAAATCGATCACGGTGCGGTCGCGATCCATCCAGAACGAACGTCTGGGCCGCTTCTCGGCTCATTTTCTGCGCGACCTGGGAGTCTGAGCTCGCTTCAGGGCGGCCTTGGCGTTGTCGGCTGTGGCTTGCCCACGGCCTTTTCCACGACCACCGCCCTTGCCCCGGCCCTTCCCCTTGCCCGCGGGACGGTCGCCTCGAGGAGCACGACGACCTTCGCTGAAGGCGACGCTCTTGACAGAGGGTGAGCGCGATGTACGCGAGGACCGCCGCGGAGCGGAAGGCGAGCGTGGAGCGGTAGACTGGCGTGGAACGGCTGACGACCTCCGAGAAGCAGAGGATGAACGGGGTGCGCTCTTGACAGATGGACTCCGTCCCCTGGAGTTACTGCCGGCGCGGCCATTGTCTCTGCGCTCAGGGGCGTCGTGCGAACATGTGTAAGCATCGATCTGAAATGTGTCGAGAAACTCTGTCTGGCCATGCAAACACCACCCTTGGGAACCTTGACCATGGATTTGCGCTGTTTTTGAATGGGTTTGCTAGTGTCGTCTAAGCAGACTGGCGGGAGAGGTTTGCCAGTCTCGCGTTCCAGTTGGCACAGAGCGAGAAGCATCTTCGTGTCGAGGCTCTCGTATTTCGCTCTGGAGGTCTCCAGCGCCGCGCTTATCGTCCGAAGCCTTGAGCTTGTCGATGCGGCCCTGGGCCTCCGGATTCTCAATCGCGATCACGAGCTCGGCGAACATGTGCACGTGATTCATGATGCGATCGAAACTGTCACGTCGCAGGTGCACATTGTTGCCGGCCCACCAATTGGTGCAGCTATCGACGAGTTCCTGCTCGAGCTTCACGGGGTCTGTGAGCTTGACGATCTTCTCCAGACGCTTCGACTGGTGTTTGAAGATAAACTCCTGCACGCTGAATGCCATCTTTGGGCGCATGTGGATCCAGGCGGCATCCACTGTGTAGTCACTCGCATTGCGCAGCGTACTCATGAAGTCCTGGTCGGCCTGGTGGTCACTGGCGGCCGCCGCGGCCGAATACCACTGAGGCCACTGCCATGAGGCCGTCGCAAAGGATTTCAGGTTGGTCATCAACTCATGTTCTCGCTCGAGGCGCAAATACTTGAGTTCTAACTCCCCCTGATTCACCTTGGCGGCAAGCAGGCACTTCACCCGATTTCGCCACTTGTCCATGATGCCTGCGATATCGTGTGGCACGGGGGCTTTGACGCTGTCAGGGTCGCTGGTGTACGTGAGCGACTGCGCGACGAGATTCGTGGCTGCGGACTGGGATGCCATGTGCTTGAGCATGTCCTCCAGAAGACCTCCACGTGGTGGGCGAGGCTGATCCTCGCCACCACCAGCTGGAGCGCCGGCGCTCCTTGGCCGGACACGTCGATCATGTCGATCCTCTATGTAGCGATTGAGAGCGGTTGAGAACTGGTAGCCGCCCGAGCTGGACTGTGCTGCTGAAAACGGCTGTGCCAACGCCACCGGCTGCCCAGCTGGAGGATGTCACTGCCCCTGAGGGGCCGGAGCGAATCCCGCAGGCGCACCGTGCATGAGGGGGGGAGAACGTGACAACAAATACTAGCACTTGGTGTATGATCTCAACCACTTTTAGCTGGAGATGCGTTTCGGACTCTAGGTCCCCTTCTGGGCCAAAAGGCTGCGGTGTCCCACGCGCGTGCCGTGCAGCGCGCGAGCAAGGCAGCAAGAGGTCAAGAGTGCGGGGGTGAACAAAACCCGAGTAGTCCCGGTTGGCCTCCCGAGCAGTCCCGGCTGGCCTCGACAGGCCTCCCGAGTAGTCCAGGGCGGTCTCAACGACCCAACCGTAGGGCGCGTGGCGCCCCAGGGGCGCCGCCAGAGGCTGCGCCAGGGCTCCGCTCCCTGCAGAGCGCTGCAGTCCACAGCTCCCGAGCACTGAATGGCGTCGGGAATGGCGTCCCCCCCCCCACCCCTTGCAGAGCGAACCCGCCTCCCCCCCCCGGCTCCCGAGCACTGAATGGCGTCGGGAATGGCGTCCCCCCCCCACCCCCCTCTTGCAGAGCGAACCCCCCCCCCAGGCTCCCGAGCACTGAATGGCGTCGGGAATGGCGTCGCTCCCCCACCCCCCTTGCAGAGCGACCCCCCCCCGGGCTCCCGAGCATTGAATGGCGTCGGGAATGGCGCCCCCCCCCCCCCCCTTCCCTTGCAGATCGACCCCCCCCGGGCTCCCGAGCACGAATGGCGTCGGGAATGGCGTCCTCCCCCCCCCCCCTTCCCTCCCGAGCACGAATGGCGTCGGGAATGGCGTCCCCCCCCCCCCCCCCCTTGCAGATCCCCCCCCCGGCTCCCGAGCACCGAATGGCGTCGGGAATGGCGTCCCCCCCCCACCGCCCTTGCAGAGCGAACCCCCCCAACGGCTTCCGAGCATTGAATGGCGTCGGGAATGGCGTCGCTCCCCCCACCCCCTTGCAGAGCGACCACCCCCCCCCCCCCGGGCTCCCGAGCGCTGAATGGCGTCGGGAATGGCGTCCGCCCCCCCCACCCTTGCAGAGCGAACTCCCCCCCCCGGCTCCCGAGCACTAAATGGCGTCGGGAATGGCGTCGCCCCCCCCACCCTTCCCTTGCAGATCGCCCCCTCCCCCCCCCCCGGCTCCCGAGCACTGAACGGCGTCGGGAACGGCGTCCCGCCCACCCCCCCCTGGCAGAGCGAAGCTTGAGCGAGCTCAAGTCCACGCTCTCAGAAACTCACGCGCCGGCTCGGCGCATTTTTGCGGCACCTGCAGGAACGCGACAGGTTGGTTCCTCGCGCTGTTCCAGCGTAAAAAGGAGGAGGAGGTGGAGGAGAGGAGGAGAAGGAGGAGGAGGAGGAGGAGGAGGAGGAGGATGCGACGACGACGACGAGGAGGACGAGGACGACGAGGACGACGACGAGGACGACAAGGACGACGACGACGAGGACGACGACGGCGACGACGAGGAGGAGGAGGAGGACGACGACGACGAGGAGGAAGAGGAGGATGAGGCAGAGAAGGAGGGCCAGGAGGAAATCTGTCTTTTTGGGAAGTCTGCGTCCCCCTCCGTGAGGTCCCGAAGCGCACTGCTGGAGCACGGCTCGATCGAAGCCCCCATCGTTTGGTCCTCCTTCCGTCGTCCATCTTCGTCTCTCCTTCATCCATCTTCCTGCCTCCTCCAGTTTCCTTGTTCTTCCTTCCAATTCCTCCCTCCCCCATCCTCCTCATCGCCCCATTCTCCTCCCTTGTTCTCCATCCATGTTCTCTCCAATCGAACTCTGGGCCTCCCAGGAGCACGGCACACCGCTAATGCCTCGGTCCGACGACGACCACTCCTCCCTCTACCCAACCCTCCAGCATCCTCCAGCCCCCCTCCCCCGCTACCCACGGCGCGGCGGCGTAATTACACATGCGGCGTCGCATCGTCCTTCGTCCCTCTTCCACCTCCCTCCCTCCTCCATCTTCCTCAACGTTGCCGGCGCCCGCAGTGCGCCCTGCGCGCTTGGCTAACCGTTGCCCGCTTGGTCCTGCCGATTGGATCGCGGAGGAATCATCCTCCTCATCGCCCCATCCTGCTACATCGTCCTCCCCCCTCCCTCCGTCCATCCCTGTATCCATATTTGCGCCATCATCCTCCAGCGCCACCCCCCGGACTCCCGCGGCGCGGCGGCGCACACGTGTCGGGCGGCGCGCCCACCGCCGCTCCGCCGAGGCCCGTGGTGCCTGCAGGACGGCGACGTCCCCGCACTTGGCCGGATGGCCGAGGCCCTGTCGGCCCTGTTGCGGTACGATTGAATTGGGCACTGAAGCAGTGGGCTACGAAGAAGTACAGCAGTTCTTGCCCATTTTGGACCAGGTTCGAGCCACGGACTCCATTCGGAAGCTTCTCGGAAGCCTTTTCGGGAACCTTTTCGTAAGTTCGTGGATGCCTCCCAGAAGCTTTTATTTTCGGGAACCTCGCGGGAGCTTCTCGAAAGCCGTTTCGAAAGCTTCTTGGAAGTCCCCCCGAAGCTTTTCACATTCTTTTCGGAATCCGTTCGAAAGTGTTTCGCAAGCTTTCCCTAAGCCCTTGGGAATCCCAAAGGGCCCATTAGAATTCTTCAAGAGTCTTGCGGCAATCCTCAGGAGCCCTACGGGACAATTAAGGAATCATCAAGGCATCTCAAGAAATTCATCAGGAACGTAAGTGGTTTCTGTATGACCCGCGCGTCTGGTGCCCACTGGCGCATCCAGATCATATGGCACATTGGGCGCGCGAGTTCCCTTAGGAATCTGACAGTTGTCGTCGGGAACTCTCAGATATTCTCATGGGGCCGATTCCATTCTCGAGCAGCTCTTCGGACTGTTGTATCAACCCTTAGGATCTTACGGATCTCCATCGGATTCGAAAGGTTGTCGTGAAACATCGTTGAGCATCTGCACGGCATCCTGCTGGGTTTCTCTAGAATCCCGAGGAGTCATGGATCTGATCCGTCCTGACAGCTTCCCCCCCGTAATAACATGACTTGTGCGTCAAATGGCAAGCGGCGTCTGGGCGGCGTATGGTGGGGTTGGTTGCATTGTCCTTTGACGCGTAACGGTCGTCACCCACGCCAAATCATGCCCCCCCCTCCTAAGGTAACGGTAGCGATCGTGTAAGGGGGGGGACCACCCCCCCACATGTTGGTGTTCGCGCGCGCACTATGGTGCTCGCGGCGCACCTCCGCCCCGACGTGCTCCACCCCGCCCGAGCGTTACCGCTGCCCGGGCAGATGGGCAGACGGGCGGACGGATGTACAGAGTCTAGGTTTCCCGGATGGGGTCCGAGCACACGGGGTCGGAGGATCGCGCCACATCGCCGATGCATCGCTGAAGAGGCTCGATGTGGAGGCTGATTTTCACGACGCCGGCGACGCCACTACATCGGCGATGCGGCGCGATCCTCCGACCCCATCTTCTCGGACCGCGTTTGGGAGGCCTCTGAGAAGCATGCGGACAGGCACGGGTGTAGACGCAGAGAGCTCCCCCCCGCCGCAGCTCCGGAGCGCCATGCGGCACCCGGCGTCGGTGTCGTACCAGCCCAGGAGCGCCGGCGGCCGCCGCGGAGAAGATGTGCGGGAAGGGGCCGAGGAATGCGAGAAGGACGAGCTGTCGGGGTCTGCCAGGGCAGTCAGCATGTGCTGCAAGGGATCGGACGCGGGGGGGGAGGGGCAGAGGAGTGTGAGAAGGACGAGCCGTCGGGTTCTGGCAGGGCAGTCAGCATGTGCCGCAAGGGATCGGACGCGGGGAGGAGGGTGCTGACAAGGGAGGAGCGCCGCCGCACTGCGCTCTTAATATCGGAGGTTGATCGACCTCCTACCCTGACACGTCGATTAGCGAATTGGCCGTTTTCGGTTCGCGAGAGGGCGTCGCAGCGGTCATTTTTACGGGTCCAGGTCCGTTGGTTTCGGTCCTAATGAGTAGGCCGTTTTCACTAAAGGGTGGCTTACTAAAGGGAGGTTTGTCCACCGCCGATCAGACACTTTGAGCGGCGACCTAACTTGGTGATTGTTGGAAGAGGAAGATCACGAGGAGGAGGAGGACGACGACGAGGTTGATATACACGGGGCAGGGAATCTGAAAGGGAAGGCACAAGAAAGGGCAACGAAACGAAAAGAACACGATGAGGACGAGGATAAGGAGGATGGGGAATGAATGAGTGGATGACGAGGAGGGTTCTTCCTGGGGGATGAGGAGGCGGGGGATGAGGAGCGAAAGCAGCAACAGGAGCAGGAAATGGCGGAGGAACAGCAGGAGCTCGACAGCGAAGCACACGCGGGCGACGAAGAGTGCGTGCACGAGGGCGGAGAGGGCGAGCACGAGGACGAGGTGGACGAGGACATGCTCCTCGTCCCTCGTCCTCCTCCTCCTCCTCCTCCTCCTCCTCCTCCTCCTCCTCCCTCCTCCTCCCTCCTCCTCCCCCTCCCCCTCCTCCTCCTCCTCCTCCTCCTCCTCCTCCTCCTCCTCCTCCTCCCCCTCCTCTTCCTCCTCCTCGCGGAAGCTAGGAATATATTTGTTCCCCACACAGTGATTGCACTTGGGGGGCTCTCGCTTGCCTTCTGGGGAACTGGGCCCGCCTGCGGGGCCCGGCGGCCCCGTTCCCGTCCGTCGCCGCACCACACAGGTTACACCACAAGGGTCACACCACGCAGATCCCACCACATACAGTCAACCCGCATAGCAAGGATGGGCAACCTTCCCAAGGGTACCCTTGCATCCTTTCCTCCTCGGTCCATCCTTCGCCGCTTTCGCTGGCCGCGCTCTCGAAAAGCTTCGAAGTGGGCGCCCAAGGCCCTTGCATCCTTATCGCGCATCCTTACTATACGGGTTGGCTGTAGCTTACTCCACAGAGTTTGCACCGCGTAGACTTGGGCTCATACGATCGCACCGCCCTCCTCCTCGGCGCCTCCCCTTCGGAGGCGACGGCATGGCGGGGCCTAGAGGGGCTTCGGCGCTGGTCGCGCCCGCGTGGGTTGCTTCTTTAGTGGAGGTGGCTGTGCGTGGCGCCGTGCTGGCCCAGGCGCCGAGGCGCACGGTCGCTGCTGTGGCACGCTCTGCCCTCTCGGCCGCTTTCTTCGCGTGCAGAGAGCGGTAGGGGCCTGCGGTTGGTGCTGCCGCCGACGTACATGCTGCTGCTGCTGCTGCCCCCGACGCCGTCTCCGAGGCGAGGGCGGCGCGGCGCCGGCGTCGCCGCCAACGCCTTGCGGCGCGGCGGCGCGAAGGGGCTGCTCCAGCGGACGGCGGAGGTGCGCCTGTGGCTGCGGCTGCGGGCCTGCCGCTGGTCGCGCTGGCTGCTGCTGCTGGGCCCGAGCCCGTGGAGGCGGACCGTGTGGACGACTCTTGGGCGAACGTGCCGCTTTCGCACGCGGCGCCGAGGCGGCTGCCGTGTGCCGACGCCGAGGCTGGCGCTGTCGAGGTCGGGCGCGCGAGCCTGGTGCTCGTGCAGACGGCAGGGGCGGCGCCCGTGCGGGAGCCCGCATCGGCGGCGGAACTAGCGTAGCGGAGCGGCTGCTGCGTCGCGGGCGCCCCCCACCCGTGAGTCGCCTGGAGTTTCGTTCGCCCACAGATCTCGGCTGTCAACCGATTCGTCTTGGAAAATTGCCTCGTACTTTCGGAAGTCATGAGATTACGAAGCTCAGTATACGCAACAAGTCTACAATCAGTTCCACAACGAACTACCATCTCAATACAATACGAGTTTCAGGGTGGGTCAGAGAGGTTGTTGTCAGCTGATTTCAGATGGCGCCTTCGCGCATGTAGAAATGCACCATGACCTTGGTGTACAAGTGTCCGAGCGCTTTGGACACCCAAACCAAATACCGCAATGTCGAAGCATGCGCTTAATCAGCAGCCTCTGTAGTGCCAGCAGGTGTGTATCAGTTCACGCTGCTTCCCGTGTTTCCGGTTACCCGTACAACGCGCTTGTCCAGTTTAGAAGTGGGCGAACAGTACGGTTCTGTCACAGTGGTAGTGGAACCAGGGCGCCACAGTTCAACTTAAGGCGGGATCAGCCTCAGCTGCCACCATGGAGTTTGAAGCATCGCCTCTTGGGGTCGTATTGGGAGCCTTTGGGGCGTTTGTGGGGCTTCAGGAGCCCATCGGAAGCGAAGCGACACTGAAGCAACACTGAAGGGCGCACCGAACACTCTGCAAGTCGGGGGCGCCCACGGGAAGTCCGTACCAATTCGAACGGTTTTTGAAGGCGTTTACAATAATGTGGAGACATTTTGGGCCCGTCGGGGGTCATCTTGGGCGTTTTGACGACCCGCGCCCCCCGACCGCCCAGACCCCAAGGGCCCGAGTTCTCGGAGGGGGCAATCTCCTCCCGGAAAAAAGACGACTTGATTGTTTGGGAAAGGCCCATGTGCGAAACATTTTGCGCGCTGGCTAAATTCGTCGTTTTCACATGGGTCACGACAAGATCGTTGCTAATGAGATCGCCCCAGACGGTATGATGTATAAGGAATTTATAACGCGAGCCAGCAGATGGGATACCACGAGCGGGGATGACGAGCAGCATTAGGATTTGTAGATGAGACGACTTGCACCAAAGCAGCAATTGAGGTTGAATCAAGAAAACCCGCAGTATATTCGAACGCCACAGCAGTGCCATCGGCAAAGTGCACATTGGAAGTTCTAAACCACTTGCTGGACAGACCGGTGCGACCGACAAGGCAAACCTGAGCAGGCCAGAATGGACAAACCATGTTCGTTTTCCGACGAGGACAGCCACCGAGGTGGATGTGTTGAGCCAATGTTTTAGCGAACAGTAAATTCATGCATGGAATCTGTTGCGGATCTGTATTTATTGCCTTACACAGATGTCGGAAAATACCGGTCGTCAGCGCCAGTGTGTCGACGTCTTGAGGCCCATGCGAGGATATGGGCCGATGGCGATGCACGCTTGATCTGGTGCTCGTGACGAAAATGTGTCGAAGATGATGTGGACTAACGCGTTTGTCCTTACTGCACGGTGTAAGGAATTAGGGTCTGAAGGGTTTCGGAAATCTAATAGAATGGTTCGCGCGTGGAGTTCTCCCAGCAGCCTGAACAGTACCCGTCAGCAGACGGGGCAGGTGAGAAACGGCTAGTTCTTGGCGCATTTCCATCAGCAGGAGCAGAAGCTCCAAGTATTGAGCCTGCACAGTCACTTCATGTACTGAGGGCGTGGCACGGTCGAGTGAAGATTGGAAACGGCTTGTACTCTGCATGGCAAAGGCGTTGAACATGCCATGACCCAGGCAGTTCAACAAAACAACCATTGGGTGCGCTGCGAACCTGCCGAAGGATTAAGGCTTCGGTTCAGGGTTGTCAAGGACCAGTGGCCACACATGTGACGACTGGTTGATTGCCATCGGATGCAAAGTGGGCGGGCCTCTGACTGCAGAACGAGATCATTGCCCGAGCTTGCAACGATGTTTGAAGGCAGTGAGGGATGCATGTGCCTTGCCGGGCCGCTAGCACGGCAATCTTGAGAAGCAGGGAGTTTAGTGGATCAACTCTGTGTTTTTCACGTTGCGATAGAGAATGGAGTTCAATTGTTGCGTCGGATTGAAGCACATGCGTCTCGCTGGGATGGGAAATGCTTGCGTCTATGCGTCATGAAGTGGTCCAGGCTTCCTTGTGTAAGAGAGCAGCTTTGCAGATGGGATCATCGTTGTACCATACCATTACCAGGTTTACATACCTGAATGGTTGTGAGGCCACCGCCGCTGCACCGTTTGTACCATACCATTACCAGGTTTACACACCTGACTGGATGTGAGGCCACGAACTTGCGCGTCGGAGTGGCAGCGGCTCAGGCGGAGACGCGTTCCCATCCCACCCAGACAACGTTCAATGCCGGCATCAGTGGCATCCCGTGCTCGCACGGATCTCACCAAATCGCAGGTGGCATCTTTCTTGGGACGTAGAGAAGACAGGGCACCAGAGGGTTCATTGCATTCGCTTTCAGCGTTTCGAATCCTTGGCTACCAGCACGTGATCGTACGTTGGCTTCCAGATTCTCAGGGACCTTGTTCGCCCGATGGCGCGCCCTATTGGCTGAGATCCACGCTTGGGATGCAGCCCCCTCTGTTCATCCTCCAACAATTTCTTCCCCTCCGACCCCCTCTCCCCTCCCTCTGCCCCTCGCCATGCCCCACCCCTCTCTTCCGATCCTCCTCCCCTTCCTCCCGCTGCCCCCCCTTCCCCGCAGCCTCCCCGTCGTTCCATTCCCCACTGTCCCACCCCTCCCGCCCACGCCCATTCTCATCACCACGTCCTTCAGGAACGACCTATGGAAGGCTTACGTGGACAGGTTCGAGAACAGCTTCACAGTAAACGCATCCGCGGGCCTCTCCTTGGAGGCTCTTCCGCCACCCGCCGCGCTCGCTGTGGCCGCGCCCACGGCCTTGGTGTCGTACTCTCTCCTTCCTCCTGCATCCTTCCTCCTTTTTCCCTCTCTCATTGTTCCTCCCCCCATCCCCTTCCTCCTCCTCCTTGCTTCTCCTCTTGCTCCTTACCCTGATCCGCTTCTTCCTCCCCGTGCCACACGGGGATGCTCTGGATGTGGTTTGGGACGCACGGGGGGCAGCCTTCAAGGAGTCGTGCGGGGGTCCGAATGGGCACTCGAATCACGAGGGCAAGCGAGTTGGGGGTCGGGGCGACACAGGCTTTTACGGGATGGCCCCCTTGGGTTCCATTACCCGCGACCTCCCACTCGAGGTACCGACCTCCACGACACAGCTTGGCGGCAATTCTGGCCATCCTGCATTTACAGTGGACGCTCGCACGAGGTATCTACCACCACAAGACAGAATTTAGATACGTATGTACGGCGGTAGGACGTCCCCAGGCGAGCATGTTGGAAGTTTTTTTGTCGCGGTGCATTCCACAGGCAATTGCGTTTGAATTGTTGTGCTAATGCTTCGCCTCGAGGCCAGTCATCGTTTGATTGTTGTTGGGTTGTATCACAATTTTCACGGCCGTCCGTGTTTCACATTGTGTGTTGGCGTGAGATGTGTTCGCGCTTTCGCACGATGCTTTCACCTCCAGGAAACAGCTGGCGGCACTGCCAGACACGCATCTTCACAATATATATATATATATACATATATATATATATATCATTCAGGGCTTAGCGAGGGCAGTGCCAGTCGCCACGCGTCCCTGTCACATATATATATATATACATACGTGTGTCCAGCTTATTGTTGATGCGATGTGTGCCGGAGGTGTGAGGGGGCTCTTTGCTAATAGGACCGACGGTACTTCGTTCATTCATGAGTTCACCCGTTTTAGCGATTTCGCACCCATGTGAGGCTTGCGCCTCCAGGACACCCTGGCGGCAATGCCAGCTGGGTGCCGTTTCACATCGGTTTTCTCAGTTGATGGTTGATGTGATGTGTGCCCTTGGTGTGAAGGGGAGTTCTGTTAATAGCACAGCAATTCGTGGCTTCGTCAATTGAGTCGCCCTAGCGATTTCGCTCCCATTCAAAGCTTTGGCGTCACAAGCACAGCCCAGCGGCAAGGCTTGCCGACCTGCATCCCTGACATATAAGTTGTTCCAGACTCTTGTTTATGAGATGTTTGCCGATGGTGCGAGGGGGCGGTCCGTTCATAGCACGGTCAGAGTGGCCGGGCCGAACGGTCATTCGTTGTCTCTGGATGCGTTGTTCGCGTGAGGGTCTGCGGTGTGAGTTGTTGTTGGTGGTGTTGGTGTTGGTATTGTTGCTGTTGCTGTTGCTGTTGCTGTTGTTGGTGTTGGTGTTGTTGTTGGTGTTGTTGCTCTTTTTGTTAGTATCATGTTTGTTGTTATTGCTGGTATAGTTGTTATTAATGTGATTGTTGTTGCTGCTATTGTTTTTGCTGTTCAACCTTGGTCTAGTAAACACTTGTTTTTGGTGGACACCCTGAATGCAGTTTCGCGCTCTCGCCTAGGCGCCGGCTGCATCTCCTTTGGAAATCAGACTCACGCTCAGGCGTTTCGGTGTTCCGCCAAAATTGCCCCCCCAACATCAACAACAACAACAACAGCAACAACAACAATAACGCTCCGGCTCGATACTTCCTTCTTTCTCATTCGGGGCCAGGGCTCGTGCTCGCCCCCCAAAGCCGCCGTTCCTACAACATCGGCGTTCCCGCTCGATACTTGCTTTTCACCTCAAGTCTGGCGCTCCCGAATCCGGACCCCCTACAAACAACGACGCTCCCTCTCGATGCTGCCTCCGCTGATACTAACCAAACATTTTTTGGTTGGAAACCCTGAATGCGCTCTCGCGCCTGCTCCGCGCGACCTCGCTTTCGCTCGTGTCCTGGGGCGTGGCGCATCGTCGCCACCGCCGCCGCCGGCGTCGCCGTCGTCGTCCTCCTCATCCTCCTCCTTCTCCATGCACTCCTCCTCCAAAGCATGTCCGTGGCCCTAGGTGTTTCCAGGAGTTCCAGGAGGCTTCCGAGGGCCCCCGAGCACGACGCCGACGACCACGACGACCACGACGACGACGACGACGACGACGACGACGACGACGACGACGACGACGACGACGACGACGACGACGGCGGCGGCGGCGACGGCGGCGGCGACGGCGACGGCGGCGGCGGCGGGGAGCGGCGATCGGCAGCCCCGTCGGGGCAGCCGGCGATCGATCGGCGGCCGGCGTGCGCACCACGTGGCCATCCTCGGGGTCGCCACCGCGGCCGCGACTCGGCCCGTGGCACTGCCAGGAGGCTTGAGCCAGGAGATCCGTCGTCACGACAAGCGGGAGCGGCTGACGATGTGAAGGTCTTTGGCCTCTGGAGGCCCGCTTCGGGCCCTGGGGCCATCGAGAAACGACGACGACGACGACGAGAAAACGACGACGACGAGAAAACGACGACGACGACGAGAAAACGACGCCGACGACGAGAAGAGGACGACGACGACGACGACGACGACGACGACGACAAGGGCACCGGGGCGAGTCACGCGCGGGCGCGGGCGCGGCGCGTCTACCTCCACCCGACCGTCCGGCGGCCCGAGCTTGTTCCGTGCGCGGGCCCCGGAGCTCGCGACCTCTTCTGTCGTCGTCGTCGTCGTCGTCGGCGTCGGCGTCGGCGTCGTCGTCGTTATCGCTGCTCGATGGTCCCAGATCCCGAAGCGGGCTTCCAGGGGCCAAAGACCTGGACAAAATCAGCCGCTCCTGCGAATGTCAATGGCGCTGTTGACGACCGCCGCTGCCACTGACCCCCGTCAAGTCTTTTCTGTCCGAAGGGATGCCTGTCGACCTGGCCTCTGTCGGCTGTCTGTTTGCCATAGGTTCGTTTACCTTCTGGCTCGGCCGCCACCCGTGGCAGCTCCCGTCTGTGGCTGCCAGTGTGATTGCGGAGCGACGGGCTGGCCGACCTCGGTGCTGCTCGCTGTCGCGCTGGGCCCGCCGACCGTGGGATATTTCGTGGGGCGATGCTCCTTCGGCGCTGCGAGGGCCTCATCGGCTGTGCTGACCACAGACCACTCCTCTAGGAACCCCACTCTTCCTACAGGAGCTCGCGGGGATCCTCGAGGGAAGCTGCTGATGTCGGCGACCCTCTCTCTCGATGCTGGACGCCGCTTCTGGGCGCTCTTCGATCGCGACGAAGCGGTCTAGTACGAGCGGTTCGTCTTGCGCTGTACCGCCGACGGCTATGTGGAAGTCACCCCCGATGGCGACGTGAATGAGGAGCACCGCGTGGACTACGAGGATGCGTCGGCCAGCGGTGTGTCTGGTGGTGTGCCCAATCGTCTCTCGGGGCACAAGGCGCTGCGCTGCGCCTTCCGCGTCCAGGCAATACGTGAAAGGGAACGCCTTCTCACGGAGGGTCGAGGCCTACCTCGCTGGCAGGGCGGATGCCCCCCCCGCGGCGGCCGACCCCCCGGGCGCCATCCCCATGGGTGATGTTCCTGCTGCTCCTCTTTCCGCGCTTGCTGCACACGGGTCCATGGTGGCCGTCTCCTGTGGCGACCCGAGCTTCTACGTCCCAGGTGCTCCGGCGGCGCAGTGCTGTGTGGTCGGCTCGAGGTGGTTCCTTGGCGAGTCGGTGGACAACTGCAGGTGTGACGAGGGCATCGAGGTCAAGAGCTCCGACGTCACCTTCGGCACCTCGCGGCAGGCGCTGCTATGTCGAAACGGGGCATGGCATCGCATCTGCCGGGACCCGCTGGCGCCGCCCCCTCGTGACCTCCAGCAGACCGCTCGTGAGGAGGACATCCGTACTCTGGCCGTCGCCTACAACGCTCGTGGCGACCGCACTCACAGCTTCGACTCAGCGCGCGCCCTTCTGCGAGAGGAGCCCCTGGACGGCGCCTGGCCCATCGCGGGCCCATTTCTGATCTACGACACATTGCATTCTTGACAACGTGACGGCACACATGGGCACCGGCTCAATATCCGATCAAATATACGGATACAGCAAGATGATACACAGCAAGCCAGCATTCCCAAGCAAAAGCCAGCAAGACGAATAGACGACGCGACGGCAACCAGCCTCATGCCCTGCATGGGAGCCCCAACGGGCTTACCTGGGGGAAGAGGCACTGGATACGAGCACAACTACAGCTTCACACATCACCAGACAGCGACATCCAGCAAAAGGCCAGACAGCACATTGGACGCAGTTTCGCACCCTGCATGGGGGCCCTATCGGGCCCTTGGGGGGGGGCATCATCGGCTTCTCAAGTACGTCAGTTGATTGCTCAGACGCGAGATACACCAGAAATACATACCAACTTGACACTTCTTCGCATTACTCTCATCAGTCTATAACGAGAAGGTACTTCTGTATACTGATTCGCACGTCCACTATTCAGTCACATCCCCCAGCTTCGACCATGTTTGCATGCTGGCACTCGTGTCCCAACGAAGACGGACAGGGACATGAGAACAACTCACGCGCCGACAATGGGTCAATACGCCTTGAGAAGGGAACACGCTTTCTGATGCCCGGATCGTCCAGGGACGTACCACATTACCCACGCGCCTACACAAGCGTCGCGCGCCAGCCGTCATTATTGGGACAGGATCGCCAGTGTAGGCTCACACACCAGTGGGGACCTGAGCACAACAGCGCATATTTACATCCCACATACAGGACAAACCCCATAGGCACATACAGTCCCAGGTTACTTCAGCAAGACACAGGATCCAACCAGATAGTGCCTCATACTTTGTCCCAGCACAAGTGACATTCAATGTCTTCGGCGCTCGTTCTCACTCGGAGTCTGCCATGCCAACAATGCCAACGCAGCCAGCGCAGTGCCCTCCATTGATCTTGTCCATACAGTGGGTATTGTTGGCTCCAACCTGGCCGAGCTCATCGCGTAGTTCGTGCGTGGCACCTGTCTAGCACCTACGCA